AAATCTCAGCATTGCCAAATTTTGAAGTAATCCTGCATGGTCCAATTTCAACCGAACAAGTTTATGACAAATATTTCTTGAACAAACTTTTTTTAAATTCAATTAATTATTTTTTTTATGGAAGTTCTTGAGATGTAAAAGCGTCACGAGCGGGATTCGAACCCACGACCTTCGGCTCAATACGCCGCTGCTCTAACCACTTGAGCTAGCGCGACTTCGCGACATTCATTTTTTCATCTCAACCATGACCTTACAAAAAAGAATGATTAATTGATCTAATTAATATGGTCAATTAGAACACTAAATATAAACGGATTTTTATTAATATCATTATATAGAATCATCATTGTAACTCCAAACAAAAGAGTTAATTAATCGTTTTCATTAAAATAATTTAAATAATATGGTCAGTTGTAATTCTGCGGTTTTTAGGAGATATCAAAAGTTTTTGTAGATTTAAAAGAGAATATTTTTATTGCTCAATCGTTTGTTATTTATAAATTATCATTTAACAATTAAAAATTTAACAAAAGGATACGATTAAAATTGAAAATTGCGTTTTCACCTCCAGAAAATATATATTTTGTGAGGATATGAAGATCCTTATAGGTTGTTAGTGTTTGAAAAATTGCCACTTGTAAACTTTTCAATAAAAAAGTTATTACGTATTTACATATGTTTATTAAGCATGAGTAAATATTAACATAATGGGCGATAATTTTGAATCACAATTATAGCTTGGCCGGTGTAACAGTTAATAGTCTAATTTTGTAACGACGGCATATATCTCTCTGGGCGTTGCAATTTAACCTAGAGCAGAGTTTATCAAGTGAGATAAGCAAATGTGAATCGCAGTGTCCGATGACCGACAAATCAACCTGTTGTTTTGTCAGTGTGCTGTTTTACCTGTGTCGACTCGGATAATAAGCAAGGGTTGTTGGTGGTAGACGATGGTTACGTAACGGACACCTGCTGAACACGGTCCATTTTAAATTGATTAGTTCTCACAAGCGCTTATTTCGGGAAAATTGGATTGGATGGTACGGGAACAAGGGGTGGTGTCCTTACACGGGACTTGACATGTTCAACTGACATCGACTACCACTGAAATATATTTTTTAACAGCCCAAAGCAGAAGGGAATCCAATGCTATATATTTGAAAAATCATTATATTAAAAACTTCTTTGGATACAACAATTAGCCAATGATGCAAGAATAAAAATATTCCCTGCTTGAAACAGACAAAACTCTAAGCAAAAAGCCAAAGGTTTTTATCTAAAACAATCTGAGTCACGAAACATACCAACACATACTTGACACCCATCATCAACTTGGAACAACAAATAAATCTTCAAAATGAAAGAAGAATTAATCACTCAGACAACTGTCCGGTGATCCGATGTAAATCCTCAAAATTTGTTGAACATGATACTCGATACTCAACTTAATTATTGCTTTTGGACAATTAACTTTGTTAGACTATATAACCATTATTATACAGGAGGACATAATGTCCAACAACGTTATAACTGACAAAAGATCGAACCAATTTATAATAAATTTTTGATACCATTATCCGCAATTCGAACCCAGAACCGCTAGCGAGGAAAAAAAAAGAGTCGAACGCCGTGGCCACAGCGGTCCTATATTTATTTTGATATTTGTTTAATATTATTCTTCTCTGAAAGTTGACGCGATAACAACAAAAACTCCAAAGTAGAGTTAGTTGTACAGTATATAAATAAGTGCAAAATATCTATCTATCCATCTTACGGTTACTTGACAAACGGTCATAAAGTTGACTTTATAACGTTATCCTAAAACTAATATGGACTGACCAGCAAAAGGTGTTTGATTCAGCCGATTCCTTAAAGAGTCGATGTATCAGAAAAATCCGAAACTCTCCATTGTAATTATTGAATGAATTCTCTCGAAAAAAGGTAAATACTTCCTTCGTTCATGCAGAGATTCGATCCAGTTATCGTAAATTCTATGAAATCACAAATCGCTAAACTCCCTAACCACTCGGCCACCGACGCCACTGACTATGTAAAGATTATTTTCTTTTCTTGCTAAGATAATATTATGTCTCTCCCATAGTCTGAAGTCCCATTTAGTCTGAACTACTGCCTATTGAGATTTCTCCGTGTGGCCTGCGTGATTATAACCGACGGCATTTCGGCATTTTCTTCAGTGTTATGGCTGTGATTTCTGTGAAGTGTTTAAAAAAAAGATAAAAAAAACTTCATCCAGCTCAAACCAGGAAGAAGGCGAAATGATCGATAGCGACCAATTTATTTCGCCTTCAAGTTAAATATTTAGAATTGATAAATATACAGGGGAGATTATACATAATAAACCAACTGATATGGTGAACGTATAGTGTTTTTAGAAATATAGGTTACAAGTACCTCAAAAAATTCGTTGTATAAAACTGGTAGAACTTAACTTAAACTTAAATTCTTATCCGGGGTTCTCAAGTGGATTTAAGTTTAGTTCAAACACGGGGCATTCACGTGATAACTGTCGGCAATTAATTTAAGGGGACGTGAGGTAATTTTCGAGAGCTGAAATTATGAATTTATGACCGGGTTTGGTTTGGTTTCGTGATTTTTCCCCTGTTCCGGCAAAAGATTTTCACGGAATGCACTTAAATAGGCCGGTTCGGACTGGGGTCCCTTTGGCGATTAGTGGTCGGACCTGCTGTATGACCTTTGGACGAATTCAGGTCCACGATCCCTAAAAAACGCACAAAAAAAAAAAAAGGACCGTCACCTTGAGGGCCAATCATACACCATTGTCCCTTTAACGGTACATTACAATGCAGGCAACCACGTAAGCTTTCAAGCTTTTTTTGCCGGCGGGGTTGGTTTTTTTTTAAGGTCTTGTTCGGGATTGATTGATTTAGGGCCATCGCTAATTGTCCCCTTTTTCTGGGGTAAAAATAGAAAGAGTCTAACGATCGCCCCGCTGGACAATAATTGACTTCGACGAGATTTATAGCGGAGCAACTTCCTAATTGATAGTGTGTTCTATCGAGAAAAATTCTTGCCTAATTTTTTCCATTTACATTTTTTTGAGCTCAAATAGACTATTGAGTAAATTTAGAGCCTTATTTACAATTAAAAAATTAATTAAAATTGCAAAACTTGTTTTCTGCATTTCCTCATGTATATAAAATAATCGGCAAGTTATCAAGAAAACGAACAATTTTATTTTTGGTTTAATAAAAAAACATATTAATAGTAAATATATATAACTAATAAAATAAATAATTTAAAATAAAAGTTTAAATGTTAACTAATGTTTACCTTAACTCTAACCATTTCACTGATTAATGTCCTAATAACTCTACAATTTTTAAATTTGCTACACAACGTTTGCTTAAAAACATATGTTCATCCAAATATAAATTCAACTTATATTATCAGAACTCCTCCAGAAATTCACCGAGAACCATTACGTAATTATGATTTAGTTAAAAAATTATTATTAAAAAATAAATTTAAAAAAAATTTGTAAACTTTGTCGTAAACCTAAAATGTGTTAAGACAACAATTACAATTATAGCAAGTCTGCTGGAGTGGTTACACCAGACTCCGGAGTTATAGTAGTAAAAAATTGCGGTAAAAACTGCAATAATACGGATAAAAGCATTTAAAAAAGTGTGGTTTATTAAGGAATGGAAGAACTTACAAAAATGAGTTGAAAGTTTATAAATAGATGAGAGTAAGTGATTAGTGTCTGATCATTCTGATCTGCCTATCCTAGCCATTACGACCTGTCGGATACTTTAGGCTGTCGCCATCATTAGTTTTCAATAATTAATTTTTGAAAACCCAACAATGAAAATGCAACAAGCCGAAAAGCATTTGACAGGCCAAAATGTTAGGAAAGGACCGAATCTTGCCCACTCACGTCTCACAGTTGAAACAGCCGTCAATGTCTTGTCGGATAATAAGTAAAATGACAAGGCATTTGTAATTGTAAAATGACAAAATTACTCCCCCCATCATAAGGGGAACAAGGAGAGCTTAACCCTCTTGCGGTATACCAAATTTCCCAAAACGTAGAAATTGGGGCAAAAATACGGATTTGGACTCCGGAGGCATATGTATTGACTCATACCACAGAGGCAATAACAAACGTGCAAAGACCTATGCAGGCTGAGCTTCCTATTCACGGGAGAGGAAAAGCCAAGACTTAAAGCCACATGGGATCCCTCAACAAAGCTCTGGGCTCTGTAAAAAGTCTTAACCTTAACGAAGAGTTCTAGACAATGAAGATGGTTGCACCATAGACCAATACTGGTCGTGGTTGGAAAGGTAGGAAATTGTCTGTCTCCTAGTAACTAAACCTAAACCTAGCAGCACACTATCCTATTGGTTATTGTTGACATCATTTGCAATTTTGCGAAATTAATTTGTGTACAAAATTTCTTTAAAGTGGATGTTGGTCTGTTGTACTTGCACTGGGTCACTTACTGGGTCCGCCTACGCTCGCTGGTCCAACACATAATTCATTTCTATTTTCGAAGTAATGCAAATTAAAAATCAGTGATAGTATTTTAATGCTGGAAAGGGTGTTTATTGGTAGTCTTTCGTTTTGTGGACAAATTAGCAACAGTTAATTATTAGGGAAAACGGTCATATATGATTTTTATAAGGATGAATATATATATTACATCTTTTGAAAAATAATATTAAATTAATTCATCTCCTAATTGAATCACAGCATGTTTAACAGTTTGTAAATTTGGTTTGGTTTGATTTAAATTACTATCATTAAATAATACTATCATAAAATTAGCTTATTTAAATGTTTGGTAATTTGTAAACAGCTCGGATCCGAGTAACTACTTGCACACTGTATCTGTGGGAAATGGGCCGTTAAATCATTTCATTTCATTTCGATTTAAATGTAAATCGTAAATGGCCGATTATTATAATGTATTGATTGTTAATTTCACCTTGTAAAACCTAAGTTTTTTCTTTTTCAGGTTCCTGAATCCCGAACAGGAATTCACGACATGCCAGTACGTATTTCAAAGAAAAGGGATGACAAACGAGGGATAAGATCGCGTGCTTGTAGGTACAATTTATAAAATTAGATATAATAAGGATGCCCGCTGCGAGCTAATATACAGCCGAGGGAAAAATTTTTGGGGGTGGGTGCCGAATGTTGTAAACGATAGCCGTGGTAAAGTAACGACGTGAGACTTTGCGTGTTAAAAGGTAATTTCATTTTATAGCGGTTGTCTATGAGAATATCGGCGTATTTAATTACCATAGAACAGCGTTAAGAAATAATAGTAAATCATCATTTCGATTTGTGTCTACGCTTTGCCAAAATGTATTTTAACGGAATCAGTTATTAACTCGAGGAAATTTGGCACTATTCGACCCCTCTATGGCTGGGATCCCGTGTTTATTTATACTTGCAACACTCAAAAGGAAAGCGGAAGAGCATTCGTTCTCGCGCCTTCACGGCTATTTACCTCTGTTTTAATACGAACCCTTCTGTTCTTGGCAGTGTTAGACGTACAGGGCTGCCTAGCCAGACCGGGGTAAAGTAAACATTATAAATCAGTCGTGTATTACTCCCTGGGCCGACTGGTGTAATGAAACATTCCCGGGGTGTCACCAGATCCCGTAAATATATGGGGATTTATCGCTTTTATGCCCTTACATCTTCTTATCAATGCCCAACATCCGCGCTATCGAACCCCACGCTAGACAACCCTCAGCAATCCCCGACCGAACTTCAAATATTATCGCTAACGTTTGAAAAGGGGTGTTCGACTGAACAAGATTAAACTATAATTCATGCTGCATTGCTATATTCTCAAGATTTGTTTATTCCTTGGTCTTACCTTCATGTAGATTTATTCTGAAATCCTTCCTCCACCTTATACAGAAAATGTCTATAATCAAAGATACAGTCTTGAGAAGAGTTGCCATACAATTTAAGCATTCCCTTTTACATATGTTATACACACAATTTCTCTTTATAGAATACAATTAATATTCCGTTATTGTATTGTAATAAAAAAAAAGCGAGTCATTGATCTAATATTCTTCATCATTATCACACAAAAATTTAAAATTACACTGGATCCAAAAATAATGAAAAATAAATTAATAGAATTGGTAAATGACGTGACAAAAGTGATCAATAAGTGTAAAAAATCAGACATGTTTTTAAAAGAAATTAAACTGACAAGGTATAAAACAACACCACAGCTTTTCGATTTAAGATTCATCTAGAAAGTAATGGTGCAGTTGGATTATGGACAACAATAAAAAAGCTGGTGTTGTTTTGTTGCTCGCACTGAAATTTCAATTATCTCGAGTTTCATTATTTTGGGGAGTTTTTTTCACAGATATAAAATAATAATGAGGTCTCTTAAGAAAACTTTTCCTTATCTGTAAGCAATAATGTATAGAACTATTTTCGTTATGAAAACCACAAATTTGCACTTATTGGGTTGTTCTTAAGAGGAACTTTTCTTCTCGAAACATATAATGATAATAACACATAATATGTTTACATTTTTGGCTCAAATCATTAAATAGTGAAATATGTGATAATAAAATAGAACAGGTTTTTGTAATTTAACAAAGGCTAATATACTTCATAGCGCGACAACACCTCACACGAATGGAATCTTGGTGTAAAAAGGAAAGAATAAAATTTAGCACAGGTTCACCCACATAATTTCAATCTCTGCCGAAAGCTCCCTCCTCCAGTTGATATCAATAATATCCCACTCCTAATTGTGGACAAGGTGCCTAGGGTTCGTTGAAAGCCAACACACCCTCCAGAGCTGACTTACCTCTTGCAAGTTAAGAGGGTGCCTTCAATTTAGTGAAGCAGATACTGGAAGTGAGTTCAGCCAAAGTCTCTAATACCCGCCTCATCAAACTGTCCAATCCACTATCTTAAAAAAACTCATTGATGATCCATTTTATGTGTGCACTAAACTACCCATACCGATCTAAATGTTCGTGCTGTAAAATCTTACAGCCTTACCAACTACCATAAATCCTAAATTGTAACTCACCCCGACGATTTTCATCAAACCCTCCTCGCCAGTGACAGTGACAGACAGACAAGTCTTAATGAAATAGACAATATTGTAGGATCATTGGAGTACTACCGGGATATATGTATATTGAGCAATACGGTGAGACAGACTAGGATGATCGATGATCATCGAATTTTATTTCAAATAAATAGACAACATTGATTTTTTTATTGCGACGAATAGAAAATTATTTATAAAAACAATTACGTCAAACTTGGCGTGGTAGTTTTTATCATCGGTTTAGAAAAATAACTACGAATATTCTAGAACGAAATAACAATAACAACTTCATTTTGAAAAATGTCTTGAAATGATACGAAAACATCAGTCAATAAGTAGAAGATAAAAAATATATAAATAAACAGCAATAGATCAGAACATCGCTTGGCAAAGGCCTAAGTTCATTTTGCAAATATTTGTATTTTTTTTATTATTAGCCGAGGAATCAGCAAGGGTAGGAAAAGTGTTTAGATGTGACATTGTACATATTTCATGTTGTTCGGCACTCTTAGAGCCATCTTCAGAATATATTATCGCGCTCGCTCTTTTTTAGTGTGTATATGTGAAAAGAAGAATCATGAAAATTTGTTGTTTTTATTGTTCTTTAAATTTAGTTCAATTTTGAAAGAGGGAAGCTCATTAACACGCTTTGTACTTCTTTTGTACTTGTATTTGTATTTATCACAAGTTAAGATCATTGTAAATTTTATGTTACAATTAGACCTTACATATACTCATCACGTTTAGCTAGCTATGAATAGTTATAAATATACTTAAAATTTCCTTACTAAATGCTACAAATCATAAATGCTGATTTTAAGTACCAGCATTTATTCCTTTCGTTCTGAATAAAATAATAACAATTTTAAACATTCTGTCTTGAGAACTCATGATTTATGCTACTTAGCTACTGTTTAAAAATAAATTAAATGGATGTATGCATAAATTGCCTTAAGTAATTACCAAACTAAACTCCTGGACGTAAACAAAATTCAATTTTTATAGTAATACTAAAAAAATTAAATGATTGGTTTTAAAAATGTTTAAAAAGAGAAAACAATTTTAAAGAGGAAGTATGATTATTTGGATTTCTTTCAAAGGATAAATCATTGAGTCAAAAGTATTTCTACAATATTCAACGTTAATTTAATATTTTATTTATTACTATAATAGTTCGATTTTTTAAAAACTATGTTTCACATACATCTTCCTGATTTGACTTCGCTTATTTTTGGCTAAACATCATTCGTATTTTTTATTTTAACAGGATTTTTGCTTGTTTTAACTGTCCTGCCAGATTTCCCCGTGCTGCGGGTCAAGAAGAGGCGAGAAACAAGAGGCCCGCACTCGATCCGCAACAGTTGCACGAAATAGCCGCAGGTAATCCGGCTGAAAGCAAAGGCCGTAATTGTGGAACCGCAGATGCTGCGGAATGAGGCGTGGGCAAGGCAAATCTGCGGATTAAGTAATTAACGCGGAAACGACGATCTGTATCTGGTGAGCCTGTAGGAAGGGACGGTCGAATTATGTCCGCTCGGACGCCTCTGTGCCACCGTCGATTAATTATTCATAAAGACAACCTCAAGTGCAACAAATTTATTTTTCAATACCTTCTTCACCTACCTTTTTTTATTTTTCAACAAAGAAAATGGTTTTCCTCAACTAGAAAGTTTTTAATTATTGTACTGAGGAATAGTGATTGTTTGGTTTATATTTTTTTCACACTCAGCGAATTGCGATTTATTCATATCGGATAGAGTTTATCTCCACAACAAACCAACCTCAATTTATAAAAAATAACCCATTAATTATTGATTGATATAAAAATACGGTGACTTGTGAACACTGCTCATAAATATTTTGAATCAGTCGACGGAGATAATTCCTCGATTAATTGGTGACAATTAAGAACTGTTTCTTCCAAAATTACATTACATTTTGAACACTTCCTCTGGGCTAATAGAAAATAATATTAAATCTTAATGATAATACTTAAAATTCTCATTAAACCGCTTGGACCGGCTTGTAATTTCGGTTCACTACTTCGCAAGACAATGCATGTGCATTTTTCCGTTCTAATACATCAATGGAGAGAATTATACAAATTTTTCTTCCCTCCACTCAGATGAGATTATTTACATAAGAGAATAAAAATTATAAGAAGACTTTTAAACACAACACTCATTAATTTTTGAAGTTCATTCATTTCTTATTATTCGTTATTCAACCCATTAAAAATGTGCTTACAGTACATGCAATTCGTTGTAAATCGCACTTTGCTGCGTGTTTCAATAAAAGGAAAACTTCGATTACAAAATTTAAATTTATGCTGGCCCTGGGGGCAAAACTGGATAAGTATAAAAAACTCACCCTGTCAGGGTTGTACATTTTAAGGCTTAGACCCTCTGTGGTACAAATTCAATATTTGTAAAAAAATGTGTTTTCATTGTCCTCATATTTCATGAAATTCATATAACACCCGATCTGGAAAATTATTCTCATTCTGTCTAGCCTAAAGTATACGCAATTATCCGATTTTTCCAAAATTTGACGTATCCACTTTTGTTCCGAGTGTGTAGAATTGATAATAAAAGTCGGTTAATATTGCAAGATTATTTAATAATAAATATTGTTAATGTTTTAGGCACTGTAAGATTTTTCCCACTTGCTGAGAATTTGTTGATATATTTCCAGAAATGTAGTAGGGTCTTCATTATTTTTGAGCAAGCTTTTACAAGTTAGGAATAAAAGTTATAGCTTTATTATATTCCATTGTAAATTATATTTTTTATTAAAAGTGATCACACATAAAAATAACTAATACTAGTAAACTAATTTAGTGTTTTGTTTTAGTCACTACGGGTACCTAATGAGAAGTAAATCCTCACGATTTTGTTATTGGTCGGTTTCTATTCGTCCGGCTAGAAAAATCTTTTCCGCTGAATATG